AAGTCGAGGCCAAGCCGGAGACGTTTGCACGCCCCTCGCCTGTCCCCAACGCGCCGCTCGGCCTGCCCGGGGCCGCGAGCGTGGAGGTGGCGGCCGGCAAGGGGCGCTACTTCCGGTGGGACGTGCCCGACGGGCCCGGGAAGGTGCTCGTCTGGGCAAGGGTGCAGCGCGGGACGGTGCTGCGCGCGGACGGGGAGGAGGTGACCGTCGGGGGAGGAGGGGCTGGGGTGGGGCTCTACGCGCGAGTGGGGGGAGTGCCCGAGGAACGGGACGAGGATAGGGTGCCGCTACGGGAGACGGGGCGCGGGGATGGCGAGAGGGAGACGTATGAGTTTGCAAAGGTGGTGGAGAGTGAACCAGGGGAGTGGTACTTGTGGGTGCAGGGGAACGCGAGCGTTGCGGGTGGGGATGGGTTGTACTCGGTCAAGGTGCGACGGTGCGGAGGGTCAGGCGAAGGGGCGTGCCCCTTCGAGGAGAAGGGCGGCGGGTTTCCAACAGGGATTGCGATTGGGGTCGGGGCCGTGCTGGGCGTGGTGGTGCTCACGGTGGTGGTGGGGCTGTTGATTGTCCGGGCGGTGAAGGGGCGGAGAGAGAGGAGGAAGGGGATGGAGAGCGGGGTGGTGTGGGAGCAAGTGACTATCGGAGGGCCGGTTGGCGGGCGGAGCAAGTCGGAGAGGGAGGAGTGGAGACGGAAGGAGGAGCGGTTGAAGAAGGGGGTCGGGGACTTGGATTGCAGCACGACGGTATCGAGCCCCGCGTCGACGCCCGGGAGATCGAGGGGATTGTAGCGGGCTGCGGCCGCGGAAGGGGCGTTGTCCGCTTGGGCTCGACAAGAGAGGAGTTATGTTATGTTCTTCCCAAGGGTATCATATGTTATCTTGTGTACAGAAGTTGAGTCTCTTGCCCCTACCCTTCAGCACTTGTACTCAGAGCACCCCTATCGGTGCTGTGTATACCGTATGTAAAATTTTTGCATATCCAGATACATATAGCCTCTTTCATCCCTATCGGACTGGTTATCTCCAAAAATTTGGCCTTTTTGGCTATATCTATCTCTATATTGGAAGCCGGATGGCGACAAATTTACTCATTTGACCATATAGAGACGCGAATTACATGGCGCCACTTGGCCAAAAGACCATAGAACAGTGTCAATACAGTATCTCTCGTACTCGATGCCCCGCACCCCTCGTACACTATGCCCTATCAGGGCACTTCAATTTCAAATTTACTCCTAAACCGCTAAACCGATAGTGTTGCGCACAGAAATGCTATATGCAAACGCAAAATTTTACACCTTTAACCACCAAATTTAGCCAAACGGATAGGGGTGCTCTCACTCCGGAGGGCTACGCGAGGGGGATGCCTCCCCTCCCCTCCCTCCCACCCTTTTACAGCGTAGTCTTACAGCGCGGCCTGCACGGCCCGCAGTGTCCAGACCTGAGAGGCTGCGAGCCACGTGTTCGGGACAATGCGTCACACGGCGTATGGCAGGCTCCATGCACTGGTCGAGAAGTACGGTGAGCTCCACAACAGGACTCAGTGCCTTACTGTGTAAACAAGGAAGAAAAGACAGGTGTCCCAATCCTTCGCAGCCCCTGGGTCGCGAGGCCCGCCAGCCTCTGGTCGATCCCCCCCTCGGCCACGTGTCGTACACGTGTCGTCCACGCACACAGTGCTCAACTACTAGGTACAAGCCTCCTGCTTGTCTCGCACAGTACCCTTGGTACCCAGTGCCCGCCGCTGCCAGCGGCCAAAAACGGGCACGCACCATCAGATGGCGTTGTGCCAGCAACCCCTTTCTTGCCCTTGCTACCTTTGTTAGCCCACGCATGTCCTCCTCCCCCAAAACCCGCCCCTCCTCCGCTGCATTATTGCATCTTTCCATACACCTCCATAACATCCAGGCCCATCCCTTCCCTATCATGAAGCGCCGACGACCCTCCCCGCTCGCCACCCCTCTCCTCCTCCTCGCCCTGCTGCTCCCCTCCCTCCGCGCCCAGCCCGAGCACATCGACCTGACAGACGACGACCCCACTATCGCACGCCTCCTGAATCTCAACTTTAACAGCACCCAAGTCTACACCGTCGCCTTCTCCGATGCCGGCCATGTGCGCGCGGAGTTCCTCAGCAACCAGCCCATGGAAGACCTCGTGGACCACGGCCGGACGTATATCTTCCTGGCCGCCGCCGACAGCGGCAAGGACTCCCTCATCTTCACGGACGGGTTCGCGTCCGACGTCCGCGCGGAGTTCAACAAGGAGACCGACGGCTTCGAATGCTCGCGTTCCACCCCGTGTTTTCTCAAAGACGATCGCGTCGCCATCGACGCGCAAGCCGTCTATACACACGCCACGCGCGCCGTCGTCTCGCTCCCGGTCACCAAAGACGCCCAGATCAGCGTCACCGTGCGCAACTTGGATCGCGGAGTTCTCTTCGGCGAGCAGCCCCGTATGCTCCAGCCGCGCCTCCGCGGCTGGGTCCGCTTATCCTTTGCGAAGGCGGAAGACCAGCTGCCGTGCCCCGGCTTCACACTGAGGGAAGAGGGGGAGGAAGGGATTAAAAAGGGCACTTGGTGTTCGGGGAATGGTCGGTGCGGGACGGGCAAGTGCAATTGTAAAGAGGAGTACCGGGGGTTGGCTTGCGGCACGCAGGTAGAATCGTTTGAAGATTTGCGCGACGGGGACGGGAACGTCGCGCTTGAGCTGGAGCCTTTCGCTCGCAAAGTCATCAGCTGGACGCAGAAAGAGGAAGAGTCGCGCGTGCAGATCATCTTGCGGACAGAGGAGGGGAGCATGGACGAGAGGAACGAGGAGAAGACCAGGTTTAACATGGCGTACAAGGTCCCTGAGGAAAACAACTCTCCGTACCTGGAAAACGCGAGCGAGCTCCCATCGGAATACGAGTTAAAATCCAATCTGTGCGGCAGCTTCAAGCAAGAAAAAGGTAAGCCGCCGAGTTACGCGTGCGTTCGGAATGCGCCGCTGAAGAAGGATGCAATGTTCGTCATCGGATTTATCACGGAAGCCATCGGCACCGAAGAAAAGTCACCTAGCAAGGTCAAGTTCAAGTTCCGCGTAGAGCGTTGCGGTATCGAAGGAAATCAGTGCCTGCGCATCGTCTCGGAGGACCAGCTTAATTTTCCCCTCGTCATTGTGCTGGTTTGCGGTGCGACCATCTGCTTCACGGCGATCGCTATTGCTGTCATGCTATGGCTTGACAGGCAGCATGGCTTCACCAATTCGGTCGATAGGCTCTCGGTCAAGGAACTAGATCGCATGTACCCCTCCCACCGGTTTCGGACAGCACCGCGAGCCCCGACGGACAGCGTGGCGGAGGATGACTGCTTGATTTGCTTGTCCAGGTTTCAGGAGAACGACGTTGTGCGCCAACTGGAATGCGAACATATTTATCACAGCGAGTGCCTCGACGTAAGTTTTGCACATTCATGCCGATTGGCTTGCGGGTATCTCCGAGTTGTGTTTTTGCGGAATGAACTGACCGCGTCCACTTTTCTTCCTCTTTTTCATGTGCATGAGATTATGTAGCCATGGGTAACTCAAAACAATGCCTCCTGCCCGGCCTGCCGCTGCGACGTGCGGATACAAAGCCTCTCCGACCGCCGGCGACTACGCCGCGTGGTCACCTTCTTCCTATTCCCCATTGTGTGGGTGCGAAACCTGCGCGTAAGACAAAGCGGAGAGGCTATCAGTGCGGACACCGGCAGCGCAAGCCCTCCTGACCTCGAATCGGGCCCGGAGACACCCGTATCCTCGGAACCTGAGCGTTTGAGGAGGCACGCGAGAGAAGGAGGAGAGACGGGTGAGGTCGAACAGCTAGAAGAAGTCATTCAACGGCTGCCGGGGGGTACGTGATCGTGTTGTGGAGACGTAGATATTTGTAGCACTGGTTTTCGTTTTGCAAGTGTTCAGGTCCGCGTGCCCATGCATCACTTTGTAGACAGTGCATCGTCAGTTTGCAATTCAACTGGTCACCGTACCGCGATCTCCCATGACGGTTCGGGGATGCCCGCGCATCGGAAAGGGCACCGAAAGGGGTTAGTCTAGCCCAACTTTAGACTATGTCCATTTTTATGTATGTATATGTACAACGCGGTGTACCGTAGCACCGAAAAGAATCGCGCTCCCTCACGCGTGCCCCCTGACCATGCGCGCGCCCATCGCAATCCCCGCCGCGAGCGTGCCGACGGCATGCTTCACAACGATGCCTTCCTCCTTCTCCATAAACTCCAAAGCGTCCCCCAGCCTCTCCAGCGGGACGCTCACGACCTCGATATTCTCCCCGGCGTCCACCTGCTGCTCCTTCCACCCGGTAACGTCGACCTCGACCATGGCGACGGTCTCCGCCGAGATGCCCGGCGACAGCGAGGCCGGGCGATGACACCTGCGCACGCGGCCGACAAAGCCGGTCTCCTCGCGCAGCTCGCGCAGCGCGGCGTCCTCGACGCGCTCGCCCGCGTCGACCAGGCCCGCCGGCAGCTCGACGCTGACGGCGGCCAGCGGCGGGCGGAACTGCTTCACGAGCAGGATGCGCGGGCCGTCGCCAACCGCCAGTCGGGCTAGGATCACGACCGCGTCGGCGCCGGGGGCCTTGGTCGTGGTGCGCGACACCACGTCCCAGCGCCGCGGGTACGTCGACGGCGGGTCGTGCGAGTAGCGGTAGGAGAGCGTGGAGAGGGAGAGCCAGGCGGTGGAAAAGGCGGGTGGCGGTTTGGTGGGGTGCAGGGCGCCCGCGACCGAGGCGTGCGAGGCGCATTCCACGCGGATTAGAGCGGAGATCGAGGGGAGGGGAGGTGACATGGCGGTCGATGAGGTGGGAAATGGGACAGATGTCTTGACTTTATTGCCTTTGCATTTTGACTACTACACGTACCGTAGCTAGCTAGTAAAGCTTTAGAGAGAGTAGCTACAATGCAAAGAAGGTTTGTACGAGTATGAGCACTGTATGAGGGTGTGTACGAGCATGCAGTGCTGTGGGGGCGGGGCGCCGTGGGCATGTCGGCCAATCAACGTTGCTGATTCAGGAAGGGATCAGAAGTGAAGATGAAATTTTATAATATTTTCGAAAGACCGATCAATAGATGTCATCGCGACCAAAACAGGAGCTATCCGGGTAAAGTGCCCCTCTACCGCTTCGTGCTCCTAGTCCAGTTCAATGACCTCATACGTTTTCCCCGACTCGCTCCCGCTCTCCGCCCCCTTCCCCTCCGCCACCGCCCCCATCGTCACGTCATCCCCGCCTACCTTCGCCCCCGCCTTCCCTCCCGCCCCCTCCTTCCCGCCCCCAACCCGCATCTTAGCCACCGTCTTCTTCACCCCACCCGCCGGGCTCGCCATCCTCTTCGCCCCCGCCGCGCCCTCCTTGCCCTTGCGCACGAGCCCGGTAAGCTTCGTCTGCTTGTGCGCGGCTGGCGACCCACCCCCCACGCTCGTCCCCCCGCCCGCCTTGCCGACCCCGCCCTTCGTCCCCGCCGCCTTCCCGGGCCCCGACTTTGCCGCGCCCACCTTCGTCGCCCCGCCCTTCACGGCCCCGCCCGTCCCGGACCCCTTCTTCGACGCCCCCGGCTTGTGCGAACTCCCGTTCCTCGCCGAGCTTCCCGCCTTGCTCGCACTGCCCGTCTTCTGCCCGCTTCCTACTTTTGCCCCTTGCCCGGACTTGGATCCGCCTCCGGGCTTGCCCATGCTGCCCCCCTTTTGACCGTTCCCAGTTTTGCTCCCGTTTCCGCCCTTCCCCTCGCTCCCGCTCTTGCTCCCGGCACTTCCCTTACCGTCGCCGCCTCCATTCCCGCTCTTCGCTGTGCCTCCGTTCTTCACTGCTCCCCCGCTCTTCACCGCCCCAGGCTTTGCCGCCGCCCCATTCTTCCCCGCGCTCTTCGCTTTCGGCACCACCTTAACCGCGGTTGGCGTCACCACCACGCTCTCCGCGCCGCTCGTCTGCACGGGCACGGGCCCGCCCGCCCCCTTAGCGCTCGCAATCGCGGCCTTCTTCGCGGCCGTCGCGGCCTGCTGCTCCTCCCTCTTCCGCTTTCTCTCAGCCCGTTCCGCCTCGCGTTTCTGCCGTTCCAGCATCAACCGCTCCTCTTCGATGCGCCGGAACGACTCCGTCACCTCGCCCTCGCTCACGGCGAACCCCGCAAACGCCCGGTTCTTCAGCGCGCTCACCCACGCGGGCGTCGACTTCTTGATGCTGCGCATGCGCGACCCCAGCTGATTCTTCGCCGTCTGCAGGTCCGCCCGCGCTCGGTACCACTCGAACAGCCGCTCGTCCAGCGCACGGCTCCAGGTCACGCTGTGCAACGCCGCCTTTGCGCCGTCGGAGTCACTGGCGGGCCACTGCGCCCGCTGCTCCTCCAGTAGCATATCGACCCGCGCTTCCGTAGTCCCGACGCGTGCCTTGGCGGACAGTTCTTTCGCGCGCCAGTGCAGCGCATGGCCAAGCCCCTCGATCGTGACGCGTTTTGTCCGGATGAAGGTAGATAAGCGCTGCCAGACATCGTCGTTCAGAACCACGACGCGACGGTCCTTGGCTATGTCAGAAAAGAGACGTGCCACACCGGCCTTCATGGCTTCCCGGAAGAACTCGGTGAGCCGGTCCTGCACCTTGGGATCGGCAATCTTGGGCTTCTTTTCGCCAAACTCAGCATGGCATAGTAGTTCTAGTTTCGCTATTTCCGAGGCGACGGGAGCGGGGATGCTCCTGTTTGCTTTGGTTCCCCACTCGTTTTTGTTCTTCTTTGTCGAGGATGGGACTGCACTTTCCGACGCACCAGCAGCAGCAGCCGTCACGTTACCACCTGCGGCTACCTTCTTCTGACCAGCACTCGCTGCTGCGGTAGGCTTTGGTCCTATAGCGGCTGGCTTCACCGCTGAGCGAGGCTCCGCGGGAACCGGGGGAGGTGGTTCGGGCGGCGGCGTCGGATCTCGGAGGCCCGGAATTTTGACATCCACGTTTCCAATACTATCTGGGGGGTTGGGAAGTGGCGCAAGCAGCGACTTGCTTGGGATATCTCCCTTGTTAATAAAGAACCTCCCAAAGCCATGATGCAGGGGGGGCGGGGCCCTCTGCTTCTTGCCTTCGTCGTTTTCGTCTCCCTCCTCCTCCGGCTTGAAGTCTTCATCTGCACTCTCGTCGTATGGCTCACCGCCCTCCGGCACTTCCTCCTCGACGAGCTCCTCGTCGTCTATAAAGTCGTCATCGTAGTCGTACTCATCATCTCTTAGTCGTCTCGGCTCCACTTCCCTCTCGGGCACCGCGCCGCCGGGCGCGACGTCCTCCATCCCGCCGGCATCAGATCCATCGTCCGAGTCTGGGGAAGGCTCTGGCTGTAACCGGCGCAGAAGCTCGCGCACGTTGAGCTGATTACCGCCCAGAGGGTTGAGTCCAATTGCTACGCCGCACTCCATTCTGCGCGCGGCTCACACGCTGCGCGGTGGACGGCAGAACTTTTCAACCACGGCAGTGTGGACACGGGCGAGAACGAGAGGGAGTGCCGGCGCGGAGTGGTTCGGGTGAGGCAGGGGGGAGGGTGTACCGTAGGGTTTCCAATTCGTGTCGGGTTGGCAGAGCAATTTGTCGTACTCGTGAGCAAAAACGCGCGAAAAGCCCCCACCACCTTTGGTGCCTGATTCGTGCTTTCAATTGGGCCGGCCAGCCGAATGTCCCGTCGCCAACTTCACTCCCCTCCGAAGTGCGTCATCGCGACCCGTGGCCCCCTAAGACATCGCCGTCTGTCACAACCATGGCCACGCTCGTGCCCGAGGCGCACGCCCTCGAGGCGGCGCTTTCCGCGCTCCTGTCCTCCTCTTCCTCCGGCAACGCGCTTGCGCGGGAGGCGCGCGCGCTGTCGCGCGCGGCTGACGACCTCGAGGTCGCCGCCGTCGAGACACGCGACACCCCCACGCGCCGCACGCTCATGGAGCAGGTTGACAGCGCGCGCGCCGCCGCCGCGCAGGCCCGTGTCCAGGCCCGCGCGTCGGCGCTGGCCAGCAAGAGAAGCGAACTGCTCGAGGAGCTACCGAGGAGCGCGGAGACGCAGGGGAGCGCCGCGCAGCTCGCAAAGGAGATTAACGAGAGCTTGAGGAGGGCCACGGCCGTCGTCACGGAGGAGGTGCAGAGATCCAACACCGCAGGGGAGGTCGTTGATGAGAGTAGCAGGAGATTGAGGATGACTAGGGATCAGCACGGGAGGTACGGAGAGAAATTGGGAGGCGGGAGGGACACGTTGAGAGAGATTCGCAATACAGAACGGAAGGCGAATGTGATCGTCGTGGCTTGCGTTGTCCTGTTTTTCGTTGTCGCGGTTTTTGTGGCAAGGAGGAAGGTCGTCAACTCGAATACCGCCACGTTTCTTGTTAGACCGATGATGAGGATTGTGTTTGCACCGGTTCGGATTGCGTCGAGAGTATTTGGATTTGTGTTTAGAAGGCGGGGGGGAGCAAGTGCCAACCAGAGACGACGAAAACATGCATCGCAGAACATGGACGCTGATGCAAAGGAGAAGACAATAGGAGAACGGGAACCATCGCAAATTATTGCGTCCACGGATACAACGCCAGGCGAAGCCCATAAGGGTGAGTCAGTTGACAAAGTCAATACGGGTGGGCGAGTGGGTGATCCTGGCACTTTAACAGATGTAGTCGATGAAGAGAGCCCGACGAGCGAAGACCAGTCTGCTAAGCCAGCCGGCTCCGAAGACGGACGGCCTGACAAAGAGTTTGGAAAAGGTGGAGACGAAGAAGCGAATGCAAGCACGACTCAGGGCACGAGGAAGCAATCTGATACCACTGTAACCCAAACACAAGATGGGCGAGGGGCTGAAACCCCTGATGAAGCCTTGCGCGCATATGTAGGCGGCACTAAGGAAATGCGAAAAAAGGAGCTCAGCGAAGGCGCGGAGGAAGGCTTTGTAGATGGGTTCGAGTGGCAAGACGGCGCGACTGGTGCTGACAAGGTTGGGGAACAGCAGGAGAAGAACCCCAACGAAGAAATCAAAGTACATGCCCCAGAGGAAGAGGGCACGGGTGCGGAGGGGAGCTTAGTCACTGAAGATGATACGGAAGCCAGTCATGTGGGAGAGGGGGATCGCCCGGCACCTTCGGCAAAGGACATTCGCGAGGAAGAATATAAAGCAGAAGGGGAAGGCTTCGCATCGGATCATGATGAGACTGGAAGCGTCGGCACTGCATCGTATGAGGATGTCCCGAACGTTGACCACGAAGAGGATCAGACAGGAGAACTCGCTGCAATACATGCGAAGGACGAAGAGGAAGCTCGCGCCGCGACGGAAATTTCTGATGCTGATGCTATCACAGTTGATGACGAGGTAGATGGCGGAGGAAGGGAGGAGAACAATTCAGATACTACTGAAGAAATTGACGAAGCGATGCGGGCTCTTGAGGGAGGTACCAAGGAGATGCGTGAAAGGGAGCTTACGGAGGGAATAAGGGAAGGGAATACGCAGAGTGAGGAGATCCTTGGCAACGCGATGAGCACCGATAAGGCTGATTATGTGAATATGAATGAAAAGTGGCCAAGGAGCGAAAAGAGAGACGGCACCACGATAGATGACAGCACTGCTACAGAGGCACTGCACCTTGCCGGGGATGGCACTGAAGAAGTAGAGACACATGGTTACGTACACCCTAAGAACGATGGCGGTGCAGATGGCCCAGTCGGACGCGATACGATCGATGATCGCAACATACGTGCGGATCAGATTCTGTCTAGCTCGGTAGGAAACGATGCGGGGCCAGAAGCGAAAGTTGAAGAGGATCCGCAATTGGAAGCAGGAGACAGCCCCAACAAAGCGAAGGATAACGAAGAGAGCTTATCCTTGGATCGCAAGGACGAGGAGAAAACGAGAGAAAGGGATAATTTCACTCACACTAAAGCGGCGGCACAAGTTGAAACATCTGCACATGACATGCACGGCAGCGCGCACGAGGACACAGCAAAGCCAAAGGTCGTATCTGAAGTCAAACCACCCAAAAAGAGTAAACCATCTGATTCTGATATCACAAATCCCGACGGGGACGTGGTAGTCGACGAAGATAGCACGTCCAACCGCAGGAAAGACCTGAAGATCAGTCCTACTTTCATAGACGCTCTAGGCGAGGGGAAAGCGGCAGGCGAATCCTCAGACGAAGATGCAGGCTTAGGTGGATATCCAACGGATGATGACTATGTTGAGGACCTACCTTCGCTCGCAAATTCAGCTCGGGATGAGGACCTTGAAGAAGATTCAGCTGCATATGGAGACTTTTCCGACATTTCAAGCGATGAGGGCATCTCGGAGCGTGACGTGTCGAAAGAATTCGACTTTCCTGCGGACGAACCAAGTCGTCACAGTCACTCTGTTCGGAAAGGCAACGCGAAAGATGGCACAGGGAAGGTCGCGGGAGAGGGAGAGATTAACGGCCTAAGCAAAAGTCAAATGAAGATGGATGATCTCACAGGCACCAACAAGGGAAGGAGCGGATTCGATGCGAGTGCTGTTCGTGTAGAGCATGAAGAATTGTAGTTCACACATTCACTTCTAACTTTTCCATTTTGCACATAAATCCACTTTAATTGAACCTCGCTATGCGCGAAACACATATCCTCTCATCGCTGGTCACTAGCACCTAACCCAGAGCGTCTGTAGCGCTGTTGAGCTTGCAATGGTTCTTTCATACCGTCCTTGCTCGTGCCAAGCCCCTCTCCCTGCTTCCATCCCATTCTTTCCAGCATTGCAAACCCCTTGTTCGAACTTTCCAAAGGGTCAGCACTCGGTGTTGGGCGACTCGCTTTCCGTCCGCGCTGCCCTCGGCCCTGCCCTTTCACATCTTCAACGAAACCCGCTGATGGAAGCGACATGCCTGGGTCCCATTCCTGGATAAGTTGAAGTGCATGAGCGGCGTGCCCCTGCACAGCAATTGGAGGAACAAACCTACTCGGTATAGTTTGATGCTGCCCATCCACCACACTTGTCCTCTCCGTCGCAGCATTCCTCTTCGCTTTCTTCTTCTTCTTTCGCAACCCCGGCACCCTCGCCCCATCATATAGCACGTGAATCGCCTCCCAATCCTCTCTCTCCACCAAGAAATCCAAGAACCCCGGATCCATGCCCATATCTGCAATCCTAACTGCCGCCTCCAGCTTGTCCTCCTTCGCTTTCGATTTTCGTGCCTCCCTCTTCATCGCTGTTTCCGTGCTTCCGCCCTTGTTTCTCTTCTTGCGCCTCCCCTTTGGCACGGCGAACAAGTCCGCGAGCACGACGCGCAGAGCCATAATAACAGAAAGCTCCTTGATCGGAAACACTCCGTCTTTCATCCATGTCAGCGTGACACATCGCTCTCTTCCTTCGCCGCTAGAGATAGAGTGGCAGCCCAGCACCTCCGCGGCACGATGCATGCCAAGCCTTGTTTTCGTATCCGGCATGGAGGGGCAGATGTATGTCGCGCCTGGCTGCGGGTCCAACTGGAAGTGGCGGTAGGCGAACAGGGTATGTGCCTCGATGCTCATCCATCCAGCGCGGTCAGAGGGCGAGCATGAGTTCATTTCCGGCGAAGGCGGGGGTAACTCAATGTCTCGAGGTGAGTGCGCGAGAGGAGGAGTGGGAGCTGCGACCGAAGGTAGCGTTACGAGAGTCGGTGCGGTGGCGGGTACAAACGGTGCCGCTTGTGGCGAGAGAGCAAATTTGGAACGCATCTCTGACGCTTTTTTTGTTGTTCCCGGGGCTATAGCAACACCTCTTTGCGACGCCGCTGACACCGGAGGAGAGAAATTCTTGCCGACGGGGTCCACAGCCTCACACGCGATGGCGAGCCCTGTAGCTGCCTTTTCGGACACTTTCCTGGCTTCCAAGACGTTGAAGGAGGTGTATTCCGCTTTACCAACTGCGCGTTCATAAACATCCCCCGTCGGTACGACTGGTGGTACTGGCACTCCAGGAGAGGTTTCACACAAGCTCCAGTCCGGGCAGTGCCCCTCTTCGCGTGCAGGTACTCGCCTTTCCACATCTAATTCTTCTTTATCCCCGTCCTCATCATCGACGATCCGCATCCCATCGGCGAGCAAGTTTTGACAATAATCGTCGCACACATCGCTCGAAGGCGACTCCACTCCATCACCCTCAGACCCTGACATGGCGTTCGCGAGCGCGGCCGCATGCAGCGAGGGCTGAAAATGCGACGCCTTCGAACGGCGGTGCGAGCGGCGGCGGGAGCGCGGCATGCTAGTTTGGTTGAGGATGGAGTGGGGGGGTTGGGGCTTGAGTGTGGGGTGAGCATGTGGAGGCGACAACCAGCTGGGCTGCTGTTGCAAGAGACAGGGCACGCCCGAAAACTCCAGCAATGAGAATTGACTGTGGCTAAGGAGATTCTATCTAACCAGACGGCGACACGTGCAAAGCGCCTCAACAACCTCCTCCCAATCGGCAGTAGACAAGTGCACAAGTAATAATAATATTTTAATAAATAGGCATCCAATCACAGTACTGCAGCATTGCATCCCCGCCTCTCTCATGTTGTTCATCTCTTTCGTTGCTTCTCCTCCATCGCAGCAGCTACTTGGCTCCAGTACCGCCTCTTACCCGCCCGTCCACACCGAGTGCGCCGAACACGACCTTCAGAAACACTATCTACACGGCGTTGGGTGGTCTGGTATTCAGGCATAGTCAGCCCGCTCCCAATGGAATATTCTCGTTCCACCTCATCCTCCTGCTCCCCCTCATCCTCCTGCAGCTCCGAATCCTCCGTCTCGTCAAGCTTCGGTTCACTAGCCCTCGACGCTCCTAGATTCTGGCCCTTGAATCTTTTGTTCGCATTTGTGCCCTCGGTCGACTGGGGTCCCGAAGAGACTTCCGACGGGCCGTGCGCTGTCGTGTGCGTGACAGAGCGCTCATCCGTTTCGCCCCTTTTCCTTTTTCCAAGAACAACCTCTCTCCTCGGCAGAAGAGGCCGCGAAGCAGGACTCACAACCCCCATCCCTGCTGAACAATCCACCTCGACACCCCCTTCTTCCGCGACAGGTGGAACAGCCTGCATCGAAGAAATCGATGAAGAATCTTCAGCGGATGTATCACCGGGGAGGGTCGGCTCCTCGTCATCGGATACCAAGTCGATGACGGGGATAGCGGTGTTTTGAGGCAACATCGTTGTTTCCGGGGAAGCGGTCTGAGAGTGAGGCGGAAGCGGAGGTGCGGGCGAGTCCCAGACAGTATATGCGGTTCCATCCATAGCCTGTACGAACCGTTCAAGTAGAGCGATGCTGTCCATGTACTCCGCCAGCGCTACTTCGGTCATTGTTGCAGGTGATATACCATACAGCTCTCCATTCTCATCGCTGTACTCCCCGTAATCTTCAAAGTGGTAGATGACGGGATGCAACTCCTGGCCATTGGCTGAGATCGCGTTGTTGAAGAGCTGGGGATCAGCACCGATTTCATCCCCATTCAGCCTCGCGCAATCGGCACAGGCGTACGAGGGGTCCTGTTCATCGAAGAAATGAGCCGTCCCGGGTGACATGTGGCGGGTGGATGTGTCCAAAGACTCGGTGAGGTCTTGAAAGTGGCCTGCTTGAGCAAGAGAGGCCGTTTGACGCGTGGGGGGCTCGTTTTGGACGGCAGAGATGGGGAAGGGCGGAGAGGAGGAATACTCAGGGTGATCGAGGAGACCCGGGGAATGGTATCGGTCGGTGATAGTGGCGGTATGGTCGTCGGACGTGTCTTGTTGACGCTCCGGGGTGAATTCATTGTGGTTCATGGCTGCAGTGGCGTGGGGTTGTGGGTAGGGATATCGCGAGTATGGGAAATTGGTGTTACAAAGATAGCTGAGGAAGTGTGGGCGGGCCAGAGTAGGATCAGTAGAATGAGGATGGAAAGTGGAGATGCTTATATAGAATCAGCAACGCTTTGGAGCTGTGTCAGTCAAGGGTATGCATTGAATGTTGAGAGGCGAGAGAATGCGGATTACAAGGAGAGGACAGGTAGAGAGTATGTATGCGAGAGGTTGACAGATGAGGGTTTGAAGCATGGGAATGCTCCCGCAGGATTAAATCATTGTCAGTGGTTTCACCCGTTTTTCGTGAGGAAGGCCGTACGTTGATGACGAATCTGCAACGAACTGTACATGCTGTGCAAAACACACCGTACGGGCACGTGAAGAAAATAGCTTTCATTTTCGAAGCAATGTTCTCAACACGCGTCGCCAAGAACATGAACTGGCGAGTACCCACAACATGAAGGGCTTTGGTCTTACTAGAGCAACGTATGCTGATGGAGCTCCAGGATCTCCCGTAGTTGTTGTACGGAAGGAGCAATTTTTTTGCATGAAGAATGCACCCAATTGCCAATCGACAAATGCACCAATAATAATAAGTTTAATAAATAGTCACCCAATCATTGTATTACAGCAGGGTAATATTCCCAGACTACAATCTCCGATGTACAGTAGCCAGCTCAACTGTTGTCCTCCTCTTCTGCAGGCCATGACGTCGTAGCTCTACAGGCATCCAACTTCCTCCTCTTGATTATCGGGTCTGGACCCTTTCCCGCACTTGATGAGGCTCTTGAGAACGCCGGCCCTCGTTCCTGCGGCTCTTCCTGCGACGAGAACAGAGGCTGTTCAGCCATGCCCGTGACGGAGGATTCACCCCTATCCTCCTGTTGCCGCTTTCCGAGGATCATGGGGTTCTCGCCCTGCCGCCTGCCGATAATCCCGGACGTTTCGCCCGTTGCAACCCGTTCATCCGCTCTAGCCCGCGTTTTCAGATGTACGGAGAGCAGTTCAGGCTCTCCGCGCCCCTCATCCACCCCCTCGCCAATGCCCACATATCCCGCAGAACTTCTCTTCCGCTTTCCGGTATGACGAGGTGTCGGAATTCTTTCCGTCCCATCGTCTTCCGCCGCATTCCGAATGGGACACGCCGAAGAAACCGGTGAGATCTCACATACAGCAGGATACGACGATCTCACGCTCTGCGCGCGCTCCGGCTCGAACGGAAGATGCTGTGGGCTGCGGGAAGCTTCGAGCTGCTCTGTTTGCTCGTCCTCATCAGTGAAAAGGTCGAAATCAAGAATGGGCTGGGAGGAGGATGGTGACGAGGGTGGGGGCGAGTCAGGGACTGGAGAAGCGATTCCATCTTCGGGCATCACGGCCTGCGCGAACAGAGCGATGCTTTCCATGTACTTCAAATCCGGTTCCAGTGAAGGAGAATCCAGATATATCTCTTCATTGTCTGTACTTTGACCCCAATCTTCTTCATCGCAGTTGAAGACAGAATTAGGCGGAAGGGAGACGATAGAGAGAGGGGCGATGCAGGAAGCGCGGTCGGTGTCGACGTCATTTGCATTGCTGGTGCCGGAGGAAGAGTGTGATTCGGCGGGCCCTTGTCAGTGAAAGAATGAGACAGGCCAGAGGACGGGTAGTAGTCCTTATTTTCCTGAAGCGTAGAGCAATGTTGTTGGTGGCCAGATTGGGCGAACAAGGCACTTTCATGTGTGTCTGACTGCTCATGGACGACCGAGGAAGTTGAGAAGGAGGCCAAGGGAGGTTCGGGGTATTCGGGAAGGCCATGAGAGTACGACTGGTCGGCGATGGCGGTGATGAGGCAGGAGGAGGTGGTTTGTTCATACATGGAAGTGGGTGTGTTGGAGCTCATGGTTGGGATCGTGTGGGGTTGAAAAAAGGGGGTATCGAGACTGTGAGAGAGTGGCTGTATGCGGCTGGTTCAAGGTGTGTGTGTGTGTTGGGGGGGAGGAGCGTTTCGGCTAAGCATTTGAAGTGGACAGACCTAAATAGAATCAACAACGATCCTAGAGAGTTGTGTCAGTCAAGGAGCTGAATTGCGTGGTGAGAGACGACCGAAAGGGAAAAGGGAAGGGGAGAGTACATGGTAATATGGATGCAAGGGAGCGACAGCTGAAGGTGTGAAGTATCTGATTATTTCCGGAGGATGAAAGCAGTCTCACCGGTCCGACTAGGTTCTTCTCAAGAAATCTGTAGGTCGGTGACGATTCGGCACGCAACACACATGTAGGTGAAGACAAAGAACGTCATCAGTTCATCGCAGTCTCACGTCAATCGAACACCCTTCACCTCGAAAAGTGTTTCCTCCCATCGAAATACAAGCATTGATAGATAATTGATAGACAATTGATCAACTCGTAGGCTAATCTCAATAATGTTTTGGAGTGGTAATCTGTCAGTAGAATGCAAGTATCAAATGAATACTCTCCCCTGAAACCACACTTAAAGCTCTCTTCCTCTAGAATACTTGGATTTCGTTAATTGTAGAATGGGGCTGCCCACCTCTTACGGATTGCTTTACGTATGCGTGAACAGATGGTTGTCATTTAGGAGATTACGACAACAGAGACACCAGCCACAATACTGACAAGAGAAGTTGCAATTCCAACTTCTTCGATTAAATAGAACTTTCCAGTAACCCGTCCCCGGCCTTTTTCTGCCACATATTTTTATCCGTCTGTCCCATTTCTATTTCTCAGTTCTCACTCGGCCGTCACCTCATGTTCTTAGTCACTATGGCCATTGGTATCTCCACCTGTCACCTGTGTGCTGCAAGCCACCTTAACATAAAAATGCTAGTATATAAAGATCGACAAGGATTGTGGTGTGTGGCGGAGGAGCTTTTTGCGTTGGCTAAGATTTTGCGGGTGCTCCTGCTCCGTGCGGAATGTTTAAAAAGATCGGGAAATTCTACCCATTCACAACCTCCCACGTGGATGTGACTCTAACACGGCATTTCTATTGGAGCGCTGTTCTTGACATAGATCGATGCACGGAATGAGTTGCCAATCACATGCATATGATCTTTGCATACCGCCTCTGTAGACGTCTTCGTTTGCGGATCTGATCGCCCCGCTCACCACTCTCGAACCTCTTCACATCCTCGATTCCCGTCACCGCCGAGTCTCGAACGCATTCTCAACTTCTCTGCCGGGGATGACACGGAAAGCCATAGTTCCGAAACACTCTAGAAACACAAACACAACACAGGATCCATTCCTTTTCTCCACGCCTCGGATTAATCTCCCTAATAAGGTACTACCGCTACGATACATCAAGCAATGCCATTGCAATTCTCTTACAGTACTCCGTGACTACAGTAATCATCAAAAACAATCAAAGCACACAAATAATAACAACTTTTAATTTAGTTTCATCAGACATATCATAAATATCCAGCAGCGCATCCAATTGTCGCAACTGCAGTCGTCCATGGATGAAACTTGAAATTTCCGGAGGAGAGAATCGATGATTGAGGTGCCATCGATGTCTTCCCGGCGGCGCTTGCCCAAGACGGTGTACTTGTGGTCCACTTCACTCCATTCGTCCAAGCTCGCACTCTTCGTCGGAGGCGCAGGGTCCGGCGATTCCAGGCTATGTGTTTGCGCTGGATCGAGCGGGGGATGCGATAGAAATCCAGGAGCCTCGAGCTGTTGTGTTGGCTCGTCATCATCGGTGACAAAATCAACATCGGGAAGACGCTGGAGGTTGGGCGGGGGCAAAGGCAGGAGCGAGTCCGGGACGAGATGGGCAATTCCACCTGCGGGCATCTCGAAAAAAGTGAGGCTTGCGACGCTTTCCATGTGCTAGTGGACGACAGAGGAAGAGCATGACGAGAGAGACCAAGATGATGACGAGGACGAAGAGGAGGAGGGGGAGGATTCGGAGTAGTTGGGGAGGTCGGGAGAGTGGGAATGTTCGGCGATGGCGGTGTTTGGGTGGGGGCTGGTGCCCTGTTCACATGTCGAAGAGGATGTGTTGGAGTGCATGCTTGTGATCGTAGGAGTTGAGGCTTGGGGATATTGCGAGTGCAACAGAATGGTTGTGCTCGTCTAGTTGAAGGGAGGTGAGGCGGGGGGATCGGAAGAGCATGGATGGAAACTGGAAAGGCTTAAACAGAATCAGTGAGACCGGACAGCGGTGTCGGTCGATGGGCCGAAGGAAATTGGTGAGAGATTGGAGAATATGGAAGGGAAGGGGAGCGGGCCAAGATAATATGGATGCGAGAAGGCGTCATAGGAAATTGAAGTGTAGGATTAATTTCACAGAGCAAACCAGTGTCAGTTGTTCCACCGGTTACTTTCAGGGAAGGCTATGTTTTGGGGCAGAATCTGCAACAATGGCACACACTGAAGGCATGGAACCTCATCAGCTCATCGAAATCTCACAGCAATCGAAATATATTTCCTGAAAATCTCCATCGAATCAAGTAGGATGCACCTTTCTCAAAAAGCAGTATAGTATGAATGCGTGTATACGCATGAGACTATTTTACTACTGTGTCTGGATGATTCGAACTTCAGGCCCTGCCATAGCTTTGGGTCGAAGACGGTACACGATGCACTGTACACGTATCTGAAGAAGGTTGCTTTGATTTTCAAAATGTTCTCAACAGGCGTCGCCAAGAGCATGAATTGGCGAGTACGTAAAACAGAACGTGATACGGTCGTGATACGGTCTCACTGGAGCGATGTGGGACGTTGTCAAGGAGCTCCCGAAGTTATTTGTTTCAGCAGACGCATTGCTGTTCACGGAGAACACACCCAATCGCCAGTCGACGAATGCGCCAATAATATTATTGATATTCTGAATAAATCGTCACCCAATCATTATGTTACAGCAGGGTAACATTCCGAGACTACCGTACATACCGTACAATCTCGATGTCTCGTCGGCGTCCCCCTTCCGCTTAGGCTTCGATGTCTCAGCCCTGCAGGCACTCAGATTCCTCCGAGGGACGCCATATCAATCCGGGGAGAAGGGTGTGACTCATCTCATTAAGCTTCTTCCCCCATGGAGTTGGCAACAACCGTTGTTGTACGTAGGAGCAAATTTTTGCATGGAGAATACACCCAATTGCCAATCGACAAATGCACCAATAATAATAATATGTTTAATAAATAGTCACCCAATCGTGATGTTACAGCAGGGTCCAGCTCGCTCTTAGATTACACTTCGCGAAGTAGCCAGCTCAACCGTTGTCCCCCTCCTCCTTAGGCTTCGATGTCGCAGCCCCGCAGCATCCTAACTTCCTCCTCTTGATCATCGGGCCTGGACTCTTTCCCGCGCTTGATGAAGCTCTTGAGATCGCCGGCCCTCGTTCATGCAAGTCTTCTTGCGACGAGAACACAGTCTGTACAGCCTTGTCCATGACGGAGTGTTCATCCCCGTCCTCTCGTTGCCGCTTTCCGAGGGTCGTGGTTTTCTCGCCCTGTTTCCTGCCGAACATCTCGGAGATGGCTTCCGTCTCATCCCACCCATCCGTCCTTGCACGCTTAAACGTAGGTCGCGGCATAGACTCTTCGCGCTTCTCCTCCGCCCTTCCGTCACTGCTTTCAACTTCCGATGATCTTCTCTTCCGCTTTCCTGTATGATGAGTCACTGGCTCACTTGCCACCTCATCTTCTCTCTCCCCATTCCGAACAGTGCATGCCGAAGAAACCAGTGAGATATCGCATGCAACAGGATCCGACGATTCCAGGCTCGGTGGGTACTCTGGCTCGAGCGGAAGATACGATGGAATGGGGGAAGCTTCGGGCCGTTGCAACGGCTCTTCATCATCAGTGAAGAAATCGTGAGCGGGAAGAGGCTGCAAGAAGGGTGCAGGTGAGTCCAGGAGGGGATGAGCGCTATCATCCATGGGCATCACGACCCGATCGAAAAGAGCGATGCTTTCCATGTACAGCAATTCCGGCTCCAGTGGAGGTGACTCCCGGTATTGCTCCGTATCTTCGTCGCTGTGAGCCGTGTCATCTTGAGGATGGCCAGATTGGGCGAACGGGGTCATTTCATATGTGTGCAGCTGCCCGAGAACCATGGGAGAGGGCATAAAAGAGGAGAACGAAGAGGAAATGGAGTAGTCGGGGTAGTTGGGTAGGTTGGGAGAGCGGGACTGCTCAACGAATGTGGTGGTGTAGCCGGGGGCGGTGCTTTGTTCAAACTTCGTGGTGGTTTTGTTGAAGTTCATGGTTCTGTTCATGGAAGAAAGGAGAAATCACGAGTGTGAGAGAATGGTTTATGTTGCTGAGTGAGGGAGGGTAGAGAGGCGGGGAGGAAGATCGGGGATGGGAAAGGGAAAGGCTTAAATAGCGTCATCGAGAAAAGAGAGTTTTGTCAGTCAAAGAACTAGAGAGAATGGTGAGAGTAGAACGAAGGTAGGGAATTGGAAGGGGGGAAGAGAATGTAAGTATGGGAGGGTGACAGATGAGAGTGAGGTATAGGGGGTATTCCTGAGGGATAACCGCAGTGTCGGTAGTTCGACGAGGTTCTTCTGAAGAACTTTGTACGTCCATGACGAATCTGCGCCATAGTACACGTGTTAGGAAAGACAATGAACATCACTGGCTCATCGCCATCTCACATCAATTGGAAGCCCCTTCCCTCGAAAAAGAGTGCTTCTCCCCATCAAAATTACAAGAAAACAATCGTGCCGTACTAAAAGAGATGACTCAACAAAAGATAGAAAATTGATCAACCCACGTAACAGCGAACAGATGTTTTAATACACCAGAGGCAAAAATCTCGACAAAGAAAAGTATATATTCCAACTCTAAACTGCCTGCCTCAACAGCACTCCACACCGACCCGCGCTCCATCAGTCTCTACTGTCTAGCTGTTCTCGCTTTTTCGCATCTGTAGCTCTCTATTCTATTGAACCTCACCACCTGTTCTTAGTCTCTGCGTGTAACTGTATCACCAGTTTCGTAATGGCTCGTTGATGAAAGAGGAGGGAGAGGAACTGACGGGGTAGTCGGAGAGGCCGGGGACATTGTATTTGGTTAGCAGTGGCGATAGAAGAGCGGGTGGGAGAGATTTGGTCAGAAAGCATGGGTGCTTACTTGAGGATGATTGCCTGGAAAGGAGTGAAAGACATAATGACTACAGTGGCAGGTATAGTAGTGGGGATGAGGTTGGACACATGGATGTGATGGGAGAGGACGCTTCGAGTGGGTTGAGGGTAAAAACGGCATGAGCGAAATAGTTGAGGGGCTCCGATCTAGAGTCAAGCACGAAACCTGCGACGTGAGTAGAAGGACGTGTGGGTGCCAAAGGATGACGTATGGAAACCGAATTGCTAGAAGTTTTGGAGGGAGTAGGGCGAGGAAGGATGTAGAATGAGCGCATTTTCATAGCACCCTAGGTTCCTTTCAGAAAAAGGCAAAAGGTGGACTGCGAGAGTTCAACATGAAACCCGAGAGAATCGGAGCTCCCATGGGCAAGCCTGTCCAAGTCCTTGCTACGATCCAGCTTGGATGTGTCGCACTGCAGTCGCTGAGAATCCATCTCGGGTGCGCTCCGGGTCCAACTGAGAATGGCTTTAGGCGAACAGGGGTATGGGTTTCGACGCTCAACCATCCGGCGCGGTCAGAAGGCGAGTAGGAGTTCATTGCCGGCGAAAGCGGAGATAACTCTACGTCTCGGAGTACATGCATAAGAGCAGCTGTGGGAGCCGCGGCCAGAGGCGACGTTACGAGAATCAGAGCGGTAGCGGGTACAAACGGCGCCGCTTGCGGCTAGAGAGCAAATTTGGGACGCATCCCTGAAGCTTTTTTTGTTTTATATCCCGGGGCTATACCAGGACCCCTTTGCGACGCCGCTGACACCGGAGTAGAGAAATTCTTCCCGACGGAGTCCACAGCCTCATACGCGATGGCGCGCTCTGTAGCTGCCTTTTCGGACACTTTCCTGGCTTCCAAGACGTCGAAGGAGGTGTATTCCGCTTTACCAACTTCGCATTCATAAACAGTCCCCGTCGCTATAGCTGGTGGTACTGGCACTCCACGAGAGGTTTCACATAAGCTCCAGTCCGAGCCGTGCCCTTTCGCGGGTAGGAACCCGTCTTTCCACCTCCAAATCTTCTACATCCCCGTCCTCATTATCAACAAGCCGCATCCCATCGAGGAGCAAGTTTTTGCAAATAATCGTCGCACACATCGCTCGTAGGCGACGCCTGTCCATCACCCTCAGGCCCCGGCACAGCGTTCGCGAGCGCAGTCGCATGGAGCGAGGGCTGAAACGGCGAGGCCTTCGGCCGGCGGTGCCGGCGGCGGCGGGACCGTGACATGCTGGTTTGGCTGAGGATGAGGTGAGGGGAGTTGGGGCGTGAGCGAGGGGTGAGCATGTGGCGGCGACAACCAGCTGAGTGGGGAGAGGACTGCAGTACTGTTGCAAGAGTACTGTCACATGCGGAACACGTGATCAAACTCCAGCAATGAGAATGGCACTGTGGTTCAAGAGGAAGAGATTCCATCCAAGCAAGCGGTGACACGCACAAAGCGGCTCAACAACCCCCCTCCTAATCGCCAGAAGACAAGTGTACCAGTAATAATAGTATTTTAATAAATAGGCATCCAATCACAGTGCTGCAGCATTGCATCCCCTCCTCTCTCATGTTGTTCATCTCTTTCGTTGCTTCTCCTCTATCACCCCAGCTGCTTGGCTCCAGTACCGCCTCTTACCCGCCCGTCCACACCGAGTGCGCCGAACACGACCTTCAGAAACACTATCTACACGGCGTTGGGTGGTCTGGTATTCAGGCATAGTCAGCTCGCTCCCAATGGAATATTCTCGTTCCACCTCATCCTCCTGCTCCCCCTCCTCCTCCTGCAGCTCCGAATCCTCCGTCTCGTCAAGCTTCGGTTTACTAGCCCTCGACGCTCCTAGATTCTGGCCCTTGAATCTTTTGTTCGCATTTGTGCCCTCGGTCGACTGGGGTCCCGAAGAGACTTCCGACGGGCCGTGCGCTGTCGTGTGCGTGACAGAGCGCTCATCCGTTTCGCCCCTTTTCCTTTTTCCAAGAACAACCTCTCTCCTCGGCAGAAGAGGCCGCGAAGCAGGACTCACAACACCCATCCCTGCTGAACAATCCACCTCGACACCCCCTTCTTCCGCGACAGGTGGAACAGCCTGCATCGAAGAAATCGATGAAGAATCTTCAGCGGATGTATCACCGGGGAGGGTCGGCTCCTCGTCATCGGATACCAAGTCGATGACGGGGATAGCGGTGTTTTGAGGCAACATCGTTGTTTCCGGGGAAGCGGTCTGAGAGTGAGGCGGAAGCGGAGGTGCGGGCGAGTCCCAGACAGTATATGCGGTTCCATCCATAGCCTGTACGAACCGTTCAAGTAGAGCGATGCTGTCCATGTACTCCGCCAGCAGTACTTCGGTCATTGTTGCAGGTGATATACCATACAGCTCTCCATTCTCATCGCTGTACTCCCCGTAATCTTCAAAGTGGTAGATGACGGGATGCAACTCCTGGCCATTGGCTGAGATCGCGTTGTTGAAGAGCTGGGGATCAGCACCGATTTCATCCCCATTCAGCCTCGCGCAATCGGCACAGGCGTACGAGGGGTCCTGTTCATCGAAGAAATGAGCCGTCCCGGGTGACATGTGGCGGGTGGATGTGTCCAAAGACTCGGTGAGGTCTTGAAAGTGGCCTGCTTGAGCAAGAGAGGCCGTTTGACGCGTGGGGGGCTCGTTTTGGACGGCAGAGATGGGGAAGGGCGGAGAGGAGGAATACTCAGGGTGATCGAGGAGACCCGGGGAATAGTATCGGTCGGTGATAGTGGCGGTATGGTCGTCGAACGTGTCTTGTTGACGCTCCGGGGTGAATTCATTGTGGTTCATGGCTGCAGTGGCGTGGGGTTGTGGGTGGGGGTATCGCGAGTATGGGAAATTGGTGTTACAAAGATAGCTGAGGAAGTGTGGGCGGGCCAGAGTAGGATCAGTAGAATGAGGATGGAAAGTGGAGATGCTTATATAGAATCAGCAACGCTTTGGAGCTGTGTCAGTCAAGGGTATGTATTGAATGTTGAGAGGCGAGAGAATGCGGATTACAAGGAGAGGACAGGTAGAGAGTATGTATGCGAGAGGTTGAAAGATGAGGGTTTGAAGCATGGGAATGCTCCCGCAGGATTAAATCATTGTCAGTGGTTTCACCCGTTTTTCGTGAGGAAGGCCGTTGATGACGAATCTGCAACAAACTGTACATGCTGTGCAAAACACACCGTACGGGCACGTGAAGAAAATAGCTTTCATTTTCGAAGCAATGTTCTCAACACGCGTCGCCAAGAACATGAACTGGCGAGTACCCACAACATGAAGGGCTTTGGTCTTACTAGAGCAACGTATGCTGATGGAGCTCCAGGATCTCCCGTAGTTGTTGTACAGAAGGAGCAATTTTTTTGCATGAAGAATGCACCCAATTGCCAATCGACAAATGCACCAATAATAATAAGTTTAATAAATAGTCACCCAATCATTGTATTACAGCAGGGTAATATTCCCAGGCTACAATCTCCGATGTACAGTAGCCAGCTCAACTGTTGTCCTCCTCTTCTGCAGGCCATGACGTCGTAGCTCTACAGGCATCCAACTTCCTCCTCTTGATTATCGGGTCTGGACTCTTTCCCGCACTTGATGAGGATCTTGAGAACGCCGGCCCTCGTTCCTGCGGCTCTTCCTGCGACGAGAACAGAGGCTGTTCAGCCATGCCCGTGACGGAGGATTCACCCCTATCCTCCTGTTGCCGCTTTCCGAGGATCATGGGGTTCTCGCCCTGCCGCCTGCCGATAATCCCGGACGTTTCGCCCGTTGCAACCCGTTCATCCGCTCTAGCCCGCGTTTTCAGATGTACGGAGAGCAGTTCAGGCTCTCCGCGCCCCTCATCCACCCCCTCGCCAATGCCCACATATCCCGCAGAACTTCTCTTCCGCTTTCCGGTATGACGAGGTGTCGGAATTCTTTCCGCCCCATCGTCTTCCGCCGCATTCCGAATGGGACACGCCGAAGAAACCGGTGAGATCTCACATACAGCAGGATACGACGATCCCACGCTCTGCGCGCGCTCCGGCTCGAACGGAAGATGCTGTGGGCTGCGGGAAGCTTCGAGCTGCTCTGTTTGCTCGTCCTCATCAGTGAAAAGGTCGAAATCAAGAATGGGCTGGGAGGAGGATGGTGACGAGGGTGGGGGCGAGTCAGGGACTGGAGAAGCGATTCCATCTTCGGGCATCACGGCCTGCTCGAACAGAGCGATGCTTTCCATGTACTTCAAATCCGGTTCCAGTGGAGGAGAATCCAGATATATTTCTTCATTGTCTGTACTTTGACCCCAATCTTCTTCATCGCAGTTGAAGACAGAATTGGGCGGAAGGGAGACGATGGAGAGAGGGGCGATGCCGAAAGCGCGGTCGGTGTCGACGTCATTTGCATTGCTGGCGCCGGAGGAAGAATTGGATTCGGCGGGCCCCTCCTCATTGACAAAATGAGATCGGCCGGAGGGTGAGTGGTTGGCGTTGTTTGCTTGAAGCGTAGAACGATGTTGTTGGTGGTCAAATTGGGCGAACAAGGGGCTTCCATGTGTGTCTGACTGCTCATGGACGACCGAGGAAGTTGAGGAGGCAAAGGGAGATTCGGGGTATTCGGGAAGTCCAGGAGAGTACGACTGGTCGTCGATGGCGGTGATGGGGTAGGCGGGGGTAGTTTGTTCATACATGGAAGTGGGTGTGTTGGAGCTCATGGCTGGGATCGTGTGGGGTTGAAAAGAGGGGATATCGCGACTGTGAGAGAGTGGCTGTGCGCGACTGGTTGAAGGCTTGTGTGTGTTGGGTGGGTGGGGGGAGCGTTCCGGCTGAGCATTTGAAGTGGAAGACTTAAATAGAATCAACAACGATCCTAGAGAGTTGTGTCAGTCAAGGAGCTGAATTGAGTGGTGAGAGATGACCGAATGGGCAAAGGGAAGGGAAGGGTGCATGGTAATATGGATGCGGGGGAGCGACAGCTGAAGGAGTGAAGTATCTGATTATTTCCGGAGGATGAAAGCAGTCTCAGCGGTCGGACTAGGGTTTCTCATGAAATCCGTAAGTCAGTGACGATTCGGCACGCACACATGTAGGTGAAGACAAATAACGTCATCAGTTCATCGCAGTCTCACATCAACCGAGATTTGAAAGCGAGCTCTTCAATCGAATACTAGTATGATTGCACAGGGACTATTACATAACATCACGGATGAATAGATGCTTGGAAGATAGGTAGACAACTGATCGAAGCCTTGGAGAATCAAAAAATGCTCGATGGTGGCATTTTGTCCGTAGAACGCAAACATCAAGTGTACGCAACATCTTGACCTCTCTCTCTTTCTAAATTATTGCAACCTCATTCACTGAAGAGTGAGATAATCTGACTCACACGTGCTGTTTCACACAATTATACACAGGCATTTGTGACGTTTGAATCTAATGAATGCTCTAGAAATCAAGTTTCCGAACCCTTCCATGATGCACGTCGACTCTCGAGGGATGTGTATATAGACATTTTCTCCTGGGGCTTAGACATCTCTTGCACATATAAATCCATTTGGGACTGTGAATACTGAATGCGTTCTAACGGTACCCGAAGCCGTTATCCTGAAATGACTTTCCCTCTTAGGGTTCGGTGCTTTGTACCCAAAAGGGCAACGGTATCAGTGGCCATTCTTAGATTCTCGTTCATTCCCTGCGTCCCCCCTTCCAACTGTATATCCGCCTTGATGCCGTCCACCATAGAAATCGCCTCTAAACACAGCGCAATGCGTCTACCGCACGCCTGTTGCGGCCATGCCAGTCATGCCTGGACGCGGAGGAACTCCACGTATCCCATGTACGGGGTTTCGCCTTTCCTGGGGGCGTCTTTGTGCGTCCAAGCGGAGAGTGCTATTCAACTCCGAGCTCTACTGTAGTCCTCCTCAAATCTCAGGTTGGGAGCAGCGGCACGATAAGATTTACAGGAGGGCAACATACCTTGAAAAGCCATACATCGAACCATTAGTGCACAAGTGCCCCAATGACTAATTGACGATCACATCTTTACCCAATCATAGATCTACAGCAGGGCACACTATCCTCCCAGGCCGGACCTGTTTCCCCTCCTCTTCGGCTTAAGAGGCTCTGTCCTCCCCGATCGATCCTTTCCAAGTCCTTCTCCCTCCCTCCATCCCATTTTCTCTAACAGCGCGAAGCCCTTATTCGACCGCTCAATCTGGTTTTCTCCGCTCGCAGCAGTACTTCCCCGTCCAATGCCAGCGCGCCCGCGGCGATTACGGCCCTCAGTAGCCTCGCCGTCCCAACGCCGTTGCGAGTCGGGCGAGGCGTAGCCTCGGGTATTGTCCGCAGGTGCAGGATGGCGATGAGAATCGCGCCCCACGTCTCCTCTCCTTGAATCGCCTCGAGTGCGTCTTCCATTGTCGCGACGGCGGCGTAAACGACGTTCGTTGCGGTCGCCATTCCCAGGCCCGCTCCGTGACGCATGCCAGGGGCGGCCATTGGCCGCGCTAGGCTCGGAAGGCTGCAGGTCCTGAGCACTTCGATCGGGTTCCTCGCGTGGCTGCGGGGCATGTCGGCGAGGAATACGTTCCTGGGGTCGCGGTGACCGTTCTGAATTCCCATATGCTTGCGTGTAGACCTTGTCTAGATCGTCCCGACGGCTGCGTGTTCTGTCGCTTTCTCGGCGTGCCTGAGGACTCGGTTCTGATGCACGCGAGCCGCTCGGCTTCTCGCGCCAGTTGGAGTGGGAGCGACCACGCTGGTCTTCTTCTGTGACGCGTCCATTACACTGTTGACGCTGGTGTTCCAGATACTTGTTCCACTTTCGCTTTTGCTCCTCGCGTTCTTTCGTGCTATCGAAGGAGCGTCTGGTTTGCTCTCGCGCCTCAGCGCGTCGGGCCCGTTTTGACCAGTGTCTATGAAGTTTGTCTTCGCCGTTCTTTTGTACCTTTGTCTCTTCCCTCTCGGCTTCTGTTGTGCGCGTTTGACTGAGCCACTGCGCTAACCTGCGCTCCTCGCTTTCCCGGTTCAAATCAACCCTATCCCGTTTCTGCGCAGCAGAAGCTGATGCCTTGGGTACGTATTCCGGGTGCCTCGGATCTTCCTTTTCGCGATAATCTTCCTCTTGCCGCCGCAACCGACGCAGTTCCGCGCGCGAAAGATCCCCGTTGCTCTTGCTCTTCTTAGTCTTTTGAACGTGATTCCAGGTGTTTGGATTCGAGACCTCATTTCGGGCTGACCCGCGGCTTCCTAGTGCATTCAGCCGGCGTGTGGTGGGGGATGTCTGTGCCCCTCTCTCGCGAAGCTTCTGCGCTACCTGAATCTTGTGTAAGGCCTTGCGCTCCCTGCGTTGTTTGTCGGACTCGCCTTTCTTCTCAGATTTTACGTCAATTACCTCGACCTTTGTTGCATCCACTTGCTGTCGCTTCTCCTTGTCGTTCTGCCCGGAACCCTCTTGGGACTTCGGAGTCTGCACGGCAGCCTTTCGCTCCGCAGCAGCTTGTTTTTGCTTCTGCAAGTTGTTGAGATGTTTGATTTTCAACTTCTGCTTCTGAGTTTCTACGTACTCTTCGAACACGAATGGAGTCTTTTGCGCTAGCCTGTCCATGACGGAAGGTCTGTCCATCTCCCAGCGTTGCTTTTTGCCAAGAACCGTGAAGTTGTCGCCCATGTCGCCCCATTCCAGATCTTTTATTTTCTCAGTCAAGACCTTCAAGTACTGCGGAGGAACATCTGGCTTTGGCGGTTTCGGCTGAAAGGCTTTGGATACCATGGCAGGCTGCTTTGGAGGTCGGGACCGTGGCGAAGGTTCTTCGTGCACCTTTTCCACCAGCTGCACTTCGTCGTCGCTGATTTCGACCGGTGCTTCGGTTCGCCTCCGCTTTCGAACAGGCTGTATCTCGTGGACTTTTTGAATTTCGTCCTTGTCCCCGGCAGGACGAACAGATTGCGGCGGAAATACTACAGTGATTTCGTCTTCAAAAGGATCAAGCGAGTTGAAATTATGCACGTGCTTGCGCCTGACTACCCCTTCCTTCTCCTTTGCCATCCATATTTGCATTATATACGAATGGCGCCGCAAGTCGTCGATATTCGCGTCGGGCCCCAACATCTTATTCTTCTCTCTCTCGTAGATGCGGCGCTGTTTACGCGCAAATGATCGCGTATTTCGACGAGGGATGTCTTCGTCTGAACTACTCCCACTGTCCTCAAGAGACCTGATGATATCTCGCTCGGCTTCATGGGCGGCCTTTCTTGACGGAACAACTTCATCGCTAAACGAAATAAGGCGTACGCGGCTCGCAGAAGGTCTGGAAACTGGCCTTTTCTCGAAAGCCTTAGACTTCGTGGGAGAGGCGCGTCGCTTCCGTTTGCGCATCTTAGCCTGTGCGATTGCTTCCACGCGTTTCTTTTTCGCTTCTCGTTCTGCAGTTGCCCTGGCGGCCCTTCTACTCTCCTTTTGACGTATCTCTGCTTCCCGCTGGCGGGCTTCCTTTCTAAGCCTCGCCTTCTGTTCTCGGCGATACTTGGCCTCCCTTGCGAGGACGTCCTCGACGATGATTTCATCCAAAATTTTGTTCACCGTCGACTGGAACAACTGAAAGTCCGGCAAGTCTGCCGCAGTAGAGCATCGCTCAAGCTTGACCAGCCTTCCTATCGGCCCTTCCACGACAGAGTTTGTGGCACCAATAAACGTTCCGACAGCCTGCATGACTCGCAGCAAGGCCGCAATAGGCATGATAGCGCACGAATATTCAGTATCAGTGCCCTGTGCTGGTTGAAAGTGTTCATATACCATCTTAGCTTCACACTGCACTGCGCCGCGCCACGCATCAGCTTCTAAAATAGCCTCCACGGGCGGGCGGTTGCGGAAGCCGGACGGCGACCCAGAGACATCACGGCCGGGGTTCGGGACGTGCGGTTGAGTCGGCGGGGAGCTGGGGTCCTCCTCGAAGAGGTCGTCGAGGTCCGTGGCGGTCATAAGCGGTTGTAGATGTTGCGCGTCCGCGGATGCGCCGAGTTCGGGCTCCGGCTCGTGGTCACCACCGACTAAGTCGACGACGGAAGTCGGTTGAACGGGCTGTACGGGCGGCGGCGAGTCCAGGCTGACGACGGGGACGGGGTGCATGCGCTTCAAGTCCGGCACGGCATCGTCGACGAGGTCTATGAGCGGTGATTCCGGGGCCGCATTCGGGAGCGCGGGTGATGGGGGAGAGGGCTCGTCTCGTTGTTCGTCGCCCTGCTCGCGACTGTTGTGGTAGCGGTGTAGGACGGGGTGCGGCATGAGGGTGAGGGTGTGCCGCGAGGGCTCGAAAAACTCGGGATCCGCGTCGGCGGAGACGTTGGGCGTCGGGATGCCGGAGGACGAGGAGCTCCCAGAGGAGCAGCTGGAGGACTCGTCGTCAGCGTCATCGTCGGATAGCAGGGGAGGCCCGGGCTCGGGGGGGCTGCGCGGGGGGTCGGGCGGTACGAGAGCTTGGCGGGCGGTGGCGAGGGAGGCAAGGACGTGGGTGAGGGGCTCCTCATCGACGAAGGAGGACGCGGACGAAGACGAGGATGAGGACGAGGTGTCGGGGTAGTCGGCCAAGATGCGGGCGTGGGCGCCATGGTGTGGGTCGGCCGTGGCGAGGCGGGCGCGATTGGTATTGCCGGTAGGCATGGTAGGGGTGGTTGGGGATGATGGTGGGGCGGTTGGGAAGTTAGCGGATAAATAGGTGAGGGAGAAGGGAACAGAGAGAAGACCGAGTGTCGAAAGTGAATGCAGGGAGGACAGGGAGCCGTGTGCGGAGTAAAATAATGGCCGAAAGTCGTTGAGGTGTGTGTGCAAGCATCATTGCGAATCCCTGACGAAGTTGGTGTGATCGCGTGCGTGTCTTGTGAGATGTCTCAACTGTCTACAGTTGAAACATGGGACACCGCCACGTGTACGCGTTTACACGTGTGTACTCATGGGACCTTTGGAGCATGCGATGCAGTCGGTCCGCCCCGACCGGGCCTCCGCTATATCTCCCACCTCCTTCCAGCACTCCATCCGCATCTTCCCTATTGCCACTGTTGCACCTCCTTACTATCCGATCGCCTTTCTTCCATACTCTTCACCCAGTCCCTCGTCATGACGGCTGTTAACGGCATCGACGTCTCCAACCTGGACCGCACCGTCTCGCCAGGTCAAAATTTTTACCGCTTCGCTAATGGCGGCTGGCTCGAGCGCAACCCCATCCCGCCCGAGTACTCGCGCTGGGGCGCCTTCGAGGAGCTCAACGACCTCTCCAACGCGCAGCTTCGAGCCATTCTCGAGGAGAGCGTCGCGGACCATGCGGGCGACCCCAACCGTCGTGCCATCGCCACGCTCTACGCCACGGGCATGGACGAGGACGCGTGCGCCAGCCACGGGCTCAAGCCGATGGCCGATGTCTTCGAGCGCATAGACCGCGTGCAGGGCGCCGAAGATGTCCTCAAGCTGGCGGCCAAGCTCAGGGCAGAGTGCGGTGTCGCTGGAGGCGGTGGTGTCTGTGCTGTGTACAGCTTGCCGGATGCGAAGAACTCGGCGTGGGAGGTCGTCCTCATGTCGCAGAGTGGGTCCTTGGGGATTGGCGATCGCGATTTCTACTTCAATGACGATAAGGAGGAGATCCGGGACAAGTATATCGCCCATGTTGCCAGGATGTTGGCTTTGGGTGCGTTTTATGAGAGCGAGGAGGAGGCCAGGAGGCCTGCCGAGGAGATGATGAAGCTCGAGACTAAGATCGCAGAGGCCTGCCTCACGAAGACTGAGATGCGCGATCCGAACAGAACGTACAATAAGTTTGAGGGCACTGACGATGTCGCAAGGCGGACAGCTGGGGAGAAGGAATTACCTTGGGGCGAGTTTTTTGACTGCTTGGGATTGCCTGTCGAGGCGAGGAAGACCATTATCGTTGACAACCCCAACTTTTTTAAGAACCTTGCTTCCTTGTTGCATGATATTGATATTGGCACATGGAAGACATATCTGCGCTACCACACCCTGAAAGAGATGGCTAACTACTTGTCTCCCGAATTGAAGAAGGAGCATTTTTGGTTTTTTGGTACCACTATGACAGGTCAGCCGGAGATGAAGCCGCGCTGGAAGCGCGTTCTCAGCACCGGTATCACAGACTTGTTAGAAGACTCGCTTGGTATTCTGTACACAGATCGTCATTTCAATGCCACAGCCAAGAAGGCGTGTCTCGAGATGGTCACCGTGTGCACAGAGGTCCTCCGCAAGCGCATCGAGGAAGTCGATTGGATGCAGGAGGACACAAAGGAAAAGGCGAAGGAGAAGCTCGCCCAGTTTCGGCCCATGATTGGATACCCGGACAAATGGGATGTCGACGACATTCCTCAGCTATTGGAAGAGATTTCCTTGGAGAAGTCGTACTGCGCCAATGTTCGCGTGTGCAATGTGCGCAATTTTAAGAAGGTCATCGAGCGCATCGACAAACCGGTAGACCCTGACCGATGGGAAATGCCCTCCACGCTTGTGAATGCCTACTTCCATCCATTGAAAAACGTCATCGTATTCCCAGCCGCAATTTTGCAGCCCCCCTTCTTCTTCCATCCTACAGAAGACGCGCCGTACGGTGACCCAGCGGTCAACTTTTCAGCGATCGGAGCAGTAATCTGCCACGAAATATCGTACGTATGCCACCATATATATTTTTTTGGATACTGTAGAGGACGAGCAACTCGTTTCACGTCTTTTCGTACTGACCGTAGATGTTATGGTTCTCTTTTGTGTTGCTCAGCCACGGGTACGATGACCAGGGACGAAAATATGACAAGAAGGGCGAACTCGCTGATTGGTGGACTGAAGCGGACGCAAAGGAGTACGAGCGCCGCGCATCAAACATGATTAGATTGTGTGACGACTATCAGGTCTTCGGGAAGAATTTAAACGGACGGCTATGCCTGGGTGAGAATATCGCGGACTATGGCGGTGTGAAGTTGTCATACAAAGGTTTAAAAGCGTTTATGGAGAAGCACGGATCACTACCAGTGATTGATGGGTTCACCCCCGAACAGCGTTTCTTTCTAGGATGGGCGACAGTGTGGCGTAACAATATCCGCGAGGAAAACGCACTGCAACGGATTATCATGGACCCTCATGCCCCTGGCGAGTTCCGCGCGAACATCGTTCAAGTAATTGAGGAGTTCCACAAGGCGTTTGGCGTCAAAGAGGGCGATAAAATGTGGCAGGCGCCAGAGGCTCGTTGCGAGATATGGTAGTGCAGTTTGGTAATTCTATAGAGACGTACGCTTGCGAGCAGGATTCATGATCCTTGTATGTGGCATCGAATAAAACGGCATAGAAGCTTGCAATTCTGATTTAGGACCCGAGATGGATTCTCTGCGACTGCAGTGCGACACATCCAAGTTGGATCGTAGCAAGGACTTGGACAGGCTTGCCCATGGGAGCTCCGATTCTCTCGGGTTTCATGTTGAACTCTCGCAGTCCACCTTTTGCCTTTTTCTGAAAGGAACCTAGGGTGCTATGAAAATGCGCTCATTCTACATCCTTCCTCGCCCCACTCCCTGCAAAACTTTTAGCAATTCAGTTTCTATCCGTCATCCTTTAGCATCCACACGTCCTTCTACTTACGTCGCAGGTTCCGTGCTTGACTCTAGATCGAAGCTCCTCAACTATTTTGCTCATGCCGTTTTTACCCTCAACCCACTCGAAGCGTCCTCTCCCACCACATATATGTGTCCAACCTCATCCCCACCACTACACCTGCCACTGCGGTCATTATGTCTTGCACTCCTTTCCAGGCAATCATCCTCAAGTAAGCACCCATGCTTTCTGACCAAATCTCTCCCACCCGCTCTTCTATCGCCACTGCTAACCAAATACAATGTCCCCGGCCTCTCCGACTACCCCGTCAGTTCCTCTCCCTCCTCTTTCATCAAGAGAGAGAGAGAGAGACTGTGTTGCGAAAGTAGAGCAACCTTCGACAGTTGCAATATACTGACAAATTGCCGTGGTCAAACATCTGTTCGCAATTACGTGACTTGATCAATTTTTTGTCTCTTGTTGACTCATCTTTTTTAAGTCTGGCAAGATTGTTTACATGTAATTTTGATGGGGAGGAGCACTTTTTTTCGAGGGAAGCGGCTTCCAATTGATGTGAGATGGCGATGAGCCAGTGATGTGCATTGTCTTTCCTCACTTGTATACTATGTCGCAGATTCGTCATGGACGTACAAAGTTCTTCAGAAGAACCTCGTCGAACCACTGACACAGCGTTTATCCCTCCGGAATACCCCCTATACCTCACTATCATCTGTCACCCTCCCATATTTACATTCTCCTCCCCCCTTCCACTTCCCTACCTTCATTCGTTCTACTTTCACCATTCTCTCCAGCCCCTTGACTGACAAAACTCTCTTTTCCCGATAATGCAATTTAAGCCTTTCCCTTTCCCGTCCTGGATCTTCCTCCCTGCCTCTCCACTCTCCCTCACTCAGCTATACAAACCATTCTCTCACACTCGTGATTTCTCCTTCTTAAGGTCACATGAACGAAACTATGAACTCCAACAAAACCACCACGAAGTTGGAAAAAAGCACCGCCCCCCGCTACACCACCACTTTCGTTGAGCGGTCCCGCTCTCCCAACCTACCCAACTACCCCGACTATTCCCTTTCCTCTTCATTCTCCTCTTTTTTGCCCTCTCCCATGGTTCTCGGGCAGCCGTACACATATGAAATGACCCCGTTCGCCCAATCTGGCCATCCTCAAGATGACATGGCTCACAGCGACGAACATGAAGAGCAGTACCGGGAGTCACCTCCGCTGGAGCCGGAATTGCTGTACATGGAAAGCATCGCTCTTTTCGACCGGGCCGTGATGCCCATGGATGGAATTGCTGACTCCGTTCTGGACTCGTCCCCATTCGAGTCATCTGCAGTGGGTTTTGTCACCGACCGTGACAGGCCATCTCAACAGACCAAGGCTCTCAAAAGTCCACCACATCTCGTACCGGGGCCAGAGCACGCAAACATCCTAGACTCGTCCGATCCTGTACGTACGACGAAGCGTGCGAAGGTGGACGAATGGGGCGACAACTTCATCCGCCTGGGCAAGCGGCAGCGGCAAGGCATCAATGCCACCACAACCATCGATTGTCCTCCCAAGAAGATGCCGTTTCGTTTAAAGATCGCTGGCAGGCTAGAGTGCGGCCGTCGAACATCAATCGGATGAACGACCTAAACAGCCAGCGGCAGGGAAGCCGCTGATGAGGACATGCGGAGGGCGAATGGGGTGCAGGTACAGTATACATTAATTTGGGACAATTGGATGCGCTGCTGGATCTTCATGATTTGATAGATTGAATTAAATTATGTTTTACTGTATATCAAAAGGATGAACGGATACAGTTCCCAGAGTTTCTTTTATGCGGGGAGTTGACGTGACCTGTTCACGCGAAAATTGAGCAAGACGATTTCCCAGACGCGACGCCGTTTCTTCAACTCAGAAACGAGAGTTACTACCTCCAATATCATTCAAACCTCTATCCTCATAAGCGCTGACGGTTGTTGCCATCTCCCTGGAGGAGGAAGCTTGATGAGTTGAGCCATACCCTTCTCCCCGGCTTGATATGGCGTCCCTCGGAGGAATCTGAGAGCCTGCAGGGCTGAGACATCGAGGCCTAAGCGGAAGGGGGACGCCGACGAGACATCGGGATTGTACGGTTGTGACAATGCGCGGCCAATGGCCGCCACTGGCATGCGTCACGGAGCGGGTCTGGGAATGGCGACCGCATCGAACGTCGTTTACGCCGCCGTCGCGATAATGGAAGACGCACTCGAGACGATTCAAGGAGAGGAGACGTGGGGCGCGATTCTCATCGCCATCCTGCACCTGGGGACAATACCCGAGGCTACGCCTCGCGCGACTCGCAACGGCGTTGGGACGGCGAGGCTACTGAGGGCCGTAATCGCCCGGGCGCGCTGGCATTGGACGGGGAAGTACTGCTGCGAGCGGAGAAAACCAGATTGAGCGTTCGAATAAGGGCTTCGCGCTGTTAGAGAAAATGGGATGGAGGGAGGGAGAAGGACTTGGAAAGGATCGATCGGGGAGGACAGAGCCTCTTAAGCCGAAGAGGAGGGGAAACAGGTCCGGCCTGGGAGGATAGTGTGCCCTGCTGTAGATCTATGATTGGGTA